TTTCATTCAAATTCGCAAGTTGAGCTACCTGTATGATGAAAAATTCGTTTCCTTAAAATGAACCCGCCATATTTTATAAAATCTGATTGAAATTCATAATGCGTATTCATTTCATGACAAACAGTGGTTTTGCAGAAAAGAGACCTAATGGATTGCGCTGCAGCCGAAATATATACAAACCCACACGGGGTTTGGTCTGCTTTGACCCTATATTCATCTTAGACGAATCTACTTTTCATATGGCTTCGTTTAAGTGTGCATGTAAAGACTGCAACAGGATTTTCTTGGCCCACCTGTAACTGAAAACTGGTTTACGGACCAATGTTGAAGTTGCAAGATCATAGAATAATATTATACACGCTTGGCAGAGATCTCACAGGTGGAAATAAGATCATAGGTATCACAGCGCTACTATTCTTGGCCTATGTGTGAGGAGGATTCTGCTCTTTATTCGTTTATAGGGATAAATCGATACAAGTAAATCCAAGTACATACTCGATACTTTTCTCAATTTACTAAGTATTTTTGTACTCGATACTTTTTACTGCGATCCAAGTAGGTCTCGGAAAAAAGTACTTGTATCGGAACNAAGTATTTTTGTACTCGATACTTTTTACTGCGATCCAAGTAGGTATCGGAAAAAAGGTACTTGTATCGGAAGCGCAAAACTTATTATGCTTCAGCATCTTTTTTGAAAAGCAACCCATTAGAGGAATTGAAAGATATGCGCAAAACATTTCCGCAGCTATATAAGCAAGCCCGTCTATATAGTGGTGTTGCCGTTGTGCGACTAAAGGAAAAATTTGACCCTTTTTGAGCGCCAATACGCTTTTCCAAAATTATGTGCGACCATTGCCCCTTTTCAAAAGCTTTTTTATACCATGTCCCCACCGAAGCTAACCACGTAGTTATGGCTATTGAGTTGGTTATCCCGATAACCCACTTGATTTACCGTAGTTTCGCCATATAAAAATGACAGCACTTAACCATTTCACTGAGATGGTTAAAAGCTAACCAACTCGAAACCACGTCGAAAGTCTGATACAACCCTGTGTTTGCCCGCCATCTGTGGGACATTAGCGTTAAAATGTGAAGAATTCGTTCCCTACTAGTGTTTGGACTCCACTAAGATCAATTAGATTTACTCCGATTTTTGAAAAAATTTGAAATCTACTCCTCTACTCCCCTTGACTTCAAATCTATTCCGTTTTTTTCATTCATGCTATGCCCCTCTTGGTGCCGTTTTTTGAGTGCTCACCACCGGTTTCAGTTAAAAAATTGAAAGTTAGCCAAATCTCACTGTTAAAAAGTAACTCTTTCATAGCAATGCGTCAATAAAGTAACATCGTTATTCTTTGATGTATGGCTGCACAAATTGGCGGATGCAGAACTTTACTTAAGTTGTTAAAAAATATATGAGGAATGAAATTTATATAAAGTAGAAAAGGTTTGCTTTTTAAAAAATTAAGTGTTAGATACGTTCTACTATATTTAAAATGCTAAAAATTACCTAAATATGTAATATATTATCCTTATATTGCCTCGCGTTCTTATTCTGCATGAGTAGAAAATATTTTAGTCAAACAGTTAATGTCAGAAACAAAAATAAAAAATTCAATCTAGTAAGGAAAATTGGTTTTTGCTCCGATTTTTGCAGTAATTTAGTCCTGAATCGATTTTTGGACCGAACACTGTTCTTTACATTTGTACTGTTTTATAAACCTCAAACCGCAGTGTGGACAGCAATAGTTAGTGATGTGGTTAAGTTCGATTTGAGATGGTTAACTTTTTGGTGGGGACATGGTATTAGGAAATGTTAACAGAACCATGCTATTAAAAAATATTTCCAACTGTAAGTACGAAAAAATGCATCACTTAAAGCTTTTAAGGGAAATGTAACTTTTCTCGATTTATGTGTATGTTTGCAACCTTTTTTGTGAAAAGCTTGTCCCACTATTTTTCTTTTTAAATTCAACCAATTTATTCTTTTACTAGTAAAGAAAATCAAAAATAATATGGTGACTCTTTTTCTCGTCAATGAACCCTTTTTTTCAACTTTCTGAAAACTCACAACGGCAACACTGCGTCTATACATAACGGTTGTTGGGTCATCTGTTCCTTGCGAGATGATCTATTAATCTTGTAAAAATGTATTCTATTGTTTTTTGAAATCAAATACTATAGAAAAATAATTGTTGTCTTAAATTTTTGTCTGAAACATTATTAAAAGATAAATAATCTTATAAAAATGCATATTTTTGGAAAAAAAACAATACAGTTACTTTGAAAAATATGCAAAATCGTAGTCTATATAAAGTGCTCGATACCTTTCCGATACTGAGTAGGTATCGATACCTTGTTTGAGACAAGTACAAGTACTGATTTGAGTAATACCTTGATGGTATCCCTACCTTGATTTATCCCTATTCGTTTCGATTTAAACTAAAAATGTTTACTTTACAGACCGCTTTTCCTCTTAATCGCTATTTTTGTATTGGCCAACGCAAAAGATCTTACTAGGCGCTGCGAAGCAAGCGAGCATTGGCTAGTCTATATATAAATAGGCAAACACGAATAATTGGGAACAATTTTCTCCTATGTTTCTCAACCGATTCGAATGATTATTGCTTTGTTGGAAAGGTGTTTCGGAGGAGGAGTGCACAAATTTTTAACTTTTCCGATAGGTGGCGCAGAAGTCGAGCTATACTAAAAAATCGCATTTATAGTCCGACGTGCTTCAAACTCAGAATATACATTCGCCACATAAGGATAAATACACCTGCCAAAAATTAGCCCGATAGCTGGATAGCTGGCTCCAAAGCCGAGTTATGTCAAATTCAGTTCCATGCAATATGTTCTCATATCTATATATATATAAATGAAATGTTTTTCGTATGACGGCGATGCCTGACCAAACGGCTTAACCGATTTCAATTCTGTAAAAAGTATTGTTTTGGACCTTCTGTGTGGAAGGTTTTTTGATTTAAAAAAATTTGAAACTTCTTGTTGTTGTTGCCGAAAAAAGAAGAATGCTGAGACGTCACGATTTCACAATTTCATAGAGTTTTCTGTATATTGTATGTCACTAAACTACTAAACGGCTGGACCGATTTGGTTCATATTTGGAACATATATCAGTACCTTAAGGAGAAATATTTCTACCAAAAATTTGCTCGCTAGGTGACGCTGGGGTCAGGATATTCCAAAAAATTGCATTTACTTGCCGATTAGTCTCATATTTTGAACATAAGTCAGCCAATTGAAAAGGAGTATTTGGACTAAAAAATCTCACGATAGGAAGCGCTGGGGTCGGGATGCTCCTAAAAACTGCATTTAGTTGCAGAATTGGCTCAGACTTAGAAAATTTTTAGCCAATTGAAAAGGAGTATTTGGACTAAAAAATCTCACGATAGGAAGCGCTGGGGTCGGGATATTTCCAAAAACTATTTTACGCTGGGAGAAGGATAGATATCTAATATATATTTGTCTAAGTATATATGTATGTATGTGCCATGTTGAAGCCTAAACCGACGGACAGAATCGAACGAAATTCTGACAGAGTGTTGCCATGAACCCCGGGCCTATAATAAGGAGAAACAAATTGGGATTCGATAAGGGGGCGTGGCACCTCCCATAGGCTTGAAATTTTTATCAGCAATAACTTCGGAACCATAAACCCTACGAACTTGAAATTCGGTATACAGGCATAGTTATGGTAGGTGCTTATTGTAGGCAATATATAAATGAGTTCGTAAAAGGGGACGTGGTACGTCCCATAGGCGTGAAAATTTTTAACAGCTATAACTTCGACAACATAAGTCTCATGAACTTGAAATTTGGTATGCAGACATATCTATGGTAGGTGCTTATAGTAAGGTGTATATGAATGAGTTTATAAAAGGGGGCGTGGCACATCCCATAGGCGTGGAAATTTTTAACAGCTATAACTTCAAAACCATAAGTCATATGAATTTGAAATTTGGTATGCAGGCACAGCTAGGGTAGGTGCTTATAGTAAGGTGTATATGAATGAATTTTAAAAGGGGGCGTGGCACATCCCGTAGGCCCGGAATTTTTTATCTGCTATACCTTCGACACCATAAGTCACAGAGTTCAAACTCTGGTATGCAGACATAACTACGGTAGGTGCTTATAGTAAGGTGTATATGAATGAGTTTATAAAAGGGGGCGTGGCACATCCATTAGGCGTGAAATTTTGTATCAGCTATAACTTCGACACCATAAGTCACACGAACCTGAAATTAGGTATGCAGACATATATACGGGAGTTGTTTAGAATAAAGTATATATAAATGTGTTTGTGAAAGGGGGATAAATATGTATTCAACTATTAGACCACTCGAATATTTAAAACAGGGTTTTTTTGAAACTTTAAAGTCTTTAGACCATTTTGAAATGAAAAGATTAAATCATTTTATTGATCCCGCGTTGCTGTTAATTGAAACATGTGCGTGTATAGTGAATAAAACCACTTCTGAAATAAGCATTCTACCGGAAAAGTGCAGCTATACTAAAAAGGCTAAGCGAATAGGAAGCTAAACGGAATCTACCATAGTCGACTAATTTTAATTTAAAAATTCTATCGTTACTTTAATCCGCCTTATAATATTTGTTATGTCCGAGTCATTTGAAGGTTATACTTCGACTGCTTTATTCGTAATTCAGAGACGGATATATATACATATTGTACCAAGGTAACGGAATGCATACATATGAGTAAATACATAATGTTAAATGAGGGGAATATAAAAGTATGTACTGTTTCAATAGCTGAACATCTTCAAGTGCATTAGCATAACGATTCATAACATTGCAATAACATAACATCTCTCTCCCCCCTAAATTTTAAATGTTCTTCATCGGTATGTTTACAAATAAATTCAATAACTTACACCGATATTTCTACAAGCTGCATTATTTCAAATTGCTTAAATTTAGCATAGTGTGTTTGGCTTAAAACTAAACTTTGTTGGTTGTTTTTATTGTAGTAGGCGGGTTGGCATTTTGCGTTGTCGCTGCGAACGTCGCAGTGGTTGTTGTTGTTGTGTCGTTTCAGTTGCTGGTGTCTGCTTAACTTCGGTCACATTTGGATTTGCGGCTTTTGTAACCATCCCTTCAGGCTCAGCCGTCACTGTGGGTTTCGGAATAGGTAATGCGTTGATTGATTGCCTTGAAAACGCTGGCGGATTTTCGCGTGGTGTGTTTGTCTCCGGCGTCTCTGTGTTGTTAGTTACCTGTTCTCCGTTTGCTGTTGTTGCTTGCTCACTGTGGGCTACTACTCCCGATCTCCTCACTTGATCGGCATGCCTTGTCCATATGCGACCGTCATCGAGTCTCACGTTGTAGTGTAAATCGCCTTTACACGATTCGACCACTCCGAATCGCCACTTCCTCTTTGAGAGATAATCGCGTACTGCTACTCGATCACCGCTCATCATTCGTTTTTGCGTTGGCTTCATTGCTTGATTGTTGTTTGTTTGGTTATTCTGCGGCAGAAGTAAGTCCAATCTGGATTGAATCTGCCTGCCTAGCATAAGCATCGACGGTGACTTGTTTGTTGCTGGGTGAATGGTACGCCTGTATGCTAATAAAATTTTTGATAATTCCGCTTTCAATGAGTCTGCTGTGCATTTTGCTGCAATTAATTTGTGTTTGATGGTTTGTACATAACGTTCAGCTTGGCCGTTTGTAGCTGGATGGTATGGCGCACCTTGTTTGTGGGCAATGCCGTTGCACTTCAAAAAATGTTGGAACTCACTCGAATTAAATTGCCGCCCATGATCACTCACAATAATGTTCGGGATACCAAATTGCGAAAATATTTCCCGACATTTTTCAATGGTGGTTTCTGTATTCATATTAGGCGTTACGTGTACTTCAGGCCACTTGCTGTAGGCATCGATAAGTACGAACAAATATTTGCCCATTATCGGGCCGGCATAATCTATATGGACCCGTTCAAACGCTTTAGTAGGCGTTTTCCAAGTGTGGCCTGGTGGCTCCTTTTTTGGATTGGGTCTTGTAGTTTGACACGGTACACATTTCTGTACTAGCTCTTCAATGTCTTTGTCTAATTGGTTCCACCAAACATAAGCTCTGGCTAGACTTTTCATTCGAACTATGCCGAAGTGTGCTGTATGCAATTCGTCCAGTACTCTTTGCCTAAGACTCCTAGGGATATACGCACGTATTCCCCGCAAGATACAACCATTGTGTAGTGTGAACTCATGTTGGTCAATGTCAAAACGGTCTTTTGGTTCGCAGATTCGGCCGTATCTCAAACCTTCTAGCAAGGATTTAATCGATTTATCCGCCTTTGTTTCTCGTTGGAGATCGGTGACGGTTATTGGTAAATTATCCAACAATTCTTCTTCCACCATGTACACCTCCTCTGTGCATTTGTGTTCCTCTATGGTTGGCAGCCTTGACAGCGCATCTGCATTAGCGTTGTCTTTCGAACGCTTGCATTTGATAACGTAATCGTACTGTTCAAGGAATAATGCATAATGTTGCATACGAGTTGCTGAGTGGGTTGGTATCCCCTTACTTGGTGAAAATATTTGCGAAATTGCCCGATTATCTGTAACGAGAGTGAACTTTCTGCCGTACAGGTATTGGTAAAACTTACGTATCCCAAATATGATTGCATAGGCTTCTTTGTCCAGTTGTGAATAGCGCTGTTGTACTTTGTTCAGCGTTTGTGAAGCGAATTGTATCGGCCTTTCCGAACCATCGCCATACGTGTGACTCAATACTGCGCCGACTCCAATTGGGCTGGCATCAACGGCCAAGGTGACTGGTAACTTCGGATCATAATGTGTGAGTATGATGTCCGATTGCATATGTTTTTTAATTTCTTCGAATGCCTTCATACATTTGTTATCGAAAATGAACTCTACGCTGTTTTGCAGTAGCCGATTAATAGGGTATACTATGTCACTTAGATTTCGCACAAATCTGCCGTAATAATTCACGAGGCCCATAAAGGCTCTAACCTCCTCTCGATTAGTAGGCACTTTCATGTCTTGGATCGCCTGGATCTTACTTTTCATTCGCCGAATGCCCTCTTTGCTGATAATGTAGCCACAGTATTCTATGCTATCTTTGAAGAATTCAGATTTTTCGAGATTCACCCGCATGTTGCACCGATCGAGTCTGCTGAGGACTTCTTCAACGCGTCGTAGGTGCATACCATCGTCTGATGCCGTGATCTTAATATCGTCTAAAAATACTGACACCCCGGGGATACCGCTTAGTAATTGTTCCATTACACGTTGCCATTTTGCCGGAGCGCTTGCGATTCCGTACATCATTCGAGTGGGTTCGTATAACCCCTTATGCGTGCTTAGTGTGAGTAAATGTCGGTCTTCCGGGTGGATTTCTAATTGCAAATATGCTGTGGACAAGTCAATTTTTGAAAACTTTTGCCCTCCAGCCATCTTGCTAAAAAGTTCATCCACTGTTGGCAAAGGATGCTCGTCGACTAGTAATACTGGATTAAGGGTTACCTTATAGTCGCCGCATATTCGTATATTGCCACCTTTCTTGCGTACTACAACGATCGGTGTGGCCCACTCACTTGTTTCCACCTTCTTAAGAAGTCCCTCCGCAACTTGTTCGTCTAGTTGACGCTCTACGGCTTCCAATAAAGGAAAAGGCACTCGTCTGTGTTTAACGAATTTCGTTGTTGTATTTGGTTTTACGTACAGTCGAGCCTGTAAATCGCGAATTTTCCCCGTAGTTTTGGAAAACAAATTGGGATATCTTTTAAGCAAGTTTTCTATTTTGCACGTTTTGCTACTATCTTCAATTTGGTTAATACGCGACGCGGTGTACGTTTCACTGCTCAGTATATCGTTCCAGTCGACTTTTATTTCACGCAGCCATTCCCGGCCCAGAAGTGGTCTACGATCTGATCTCACGATATACAATTTTAGCATTTTATCACTCAACTTGTCCGCAACGCGTACCCAAATGTAACCTAAACATTCCAAAGGTGTGCCACAATAACTCACAAGCTGTATTTTAGCTTCTTTTAATTGCGATTTTGCGAAGTTTCTTTTGGCATCTTCCAAGTTGATTATCGAAACAGGGGACCCTGTGTCCACCTCAAACGAAATTTGCACATTATTCACTGACAGTTTACATTCGATCTTTCTACCTATGTTGTGCACTTCGCCATATATTTCCACTTTGAACAATTCTTCGACCAATGTGGTTTTGTCTTCGCTTATTTGGTTCACACGTTTCTTTTGCGTTTTCTGTTTAAAGCACATTTTCTTAAGATGCCCTTTTTTATTGCAAAAGTGACAGGTGAAATCTTTGTATTTGCATTTGTCTGCAAGGTGCGCGTTATTGCCACACCGAAAACATTTTTTTATATCTTCTTTCGGCTTCTCGTTTTTCTCTCTCTTCTCTGACTTTTTCTTTCCCAAAACTTTATTCACGCTCTCCTTGTCGTTCCCCCCTTGTAACTCTTCACCTCCTTTTTCTGCCAATTCATATGCCGTAGCCATACTTATGGCCTCAGTAAGGCCCAATGACTTCTTTTTCAATAAATTACTTTGAATGTTCTTATCTAGCAAACCAAATACGAACTGATTTCGTAAAGCTTTTTCCAGGTGCGTACCAAAATTACAATTTACCGCCAATCGTCGCAATGTCACTGCAAACTCCGTACACGTTTCGCCTGCTTTTTGCTTGCGCATGTTAAAACGAAAATTTTCCAAAATTTCGTTAGGTGTTGGGTCGAAGTGCTCGTGTAGTATTTCTATTATTTGCTCGTATGTCTTCTCTTCTGGCTTCTGGGGCATGATCTTATCGCACAATAAGTTGTATGTGTCTGACCCCATAAGATGAAGAAGCAATTTTGCATGTTTGGTCTCCTCGCATTCGTATAATTCTAACGCGGTTTTGAAACGCTCAGCCCAACGTGACCAAGAAGTTTTATTCGCGTCGAAGGGCTCAAAATTAAAAAATGTAGTTGAAGCCATTGCTTTTACTTTACGTGCCGGAACGTGAGTCGTTTTCACTCGTCGCCAAAAATTGTTATGTCCGAGTCATTTGAAGGTTATACTTCGACTGCTTTATTCGTAATTCAGAGACGGATATATATACATATTGTACCAAGGTAACGGAATGCATACATATGAGTAAATACATAATGTTAAATGAGGGGAATATAAAAGTATGTACTGTTTCAATAGCTGAACATCTTCAAGTGCATTAGCATAACGATTCATAACATTGCAATAGCATAACATTAGTAATTGAACAAGATTTTTAGAACAGAAAGTGATGATCAATATATAGTAGTTGAAGAAAATAGTTTTCCCCGTCTAATTTGTGTTGAACTGAATATTTGTATTACTGTTTTATATTTTGATTTGTTTACCCCGAACGACGTCGGGTGCTCCGCTAGTATCTATATATAAATAGGCAAGCATGAATAATTGGGAACAATTTTCTCCTACGTTTCTTCACGGATTCGAATGATTGTTACTTTGTTGGAAAGGTGTTACGGAGGAGGAGTGCACAAATTTTTAACTTTTCCGATAGGTCGCGCAGGGTTCGAGCTATACTAAAAAATCGCATTTATAGTCCGATGTGCTTCAAACTCAGAATATACATTCGCTACATTATGTTCTCATATATCTTACATATTAATACGCAAACAAAATTTTTGTCGTACACTTTTGAGGTACTTAATCCCCACTGATTTTCATGAAACTCATATTAAAGAAAGAGGAGGTGGTGTAGATGTGTCGAATTTAGTTTTTAACCTTCCAAGAACCACTTTGAGCAAAATATTAAAAAAAAAAAACGTGAGTACTAGGTACTCATGAAATTTGATGTGTAAACATATGCGAACGGCAAAGCATAAAAGTACGTTTACATATAAATATAATCTCAATCAAAGCTCGTTAGCTGTCAAATTGGTTGTGCTTGTTATTCAAACAATTCGAGGAAAAGTCAAACTTCTTCTCTGTGCCACCATGGTCCCTTTTTTTCTGCAACACATTTATGCCATTTAAATATATTTTAACTGAATATTTTATTAAAAATATAATATATATAAAATATTTTATTAAAAATATTTTTGATGTGTATACATCTTTGGTTTCGGTAGGGGTAAAATTTGCGAAGCTGTAACGCATATCCCAGCACAAAATTTGGAAGGGCTTAGCAAGTGGATTTCACCGTAACCTTTTTATTTTCATTAGAAGCACCCTCTGTTTGCTTGACAAATGGTTGCATACATTTAGGCATATGCATAGTAAAAAATGCGCTTCAATTTACTTGTATATACTTGTGACTCAAGGCCGTTAAAATATCTTGGAAACACCGCATCAGTTATTTTTTTTGAGCTTATAGGTTGAGCATTTCTATTTTTATATATTCCTAAATTTAGTTTTTCTTTTCGGAATATAATCTGTGGTTCATGTACATGCAGTTCATGTTGCAGGATTTTACCCGATGCTTTTTTGTTCCATACGTTTTGCTGTTACTCACTTTTTACCCTCACTTCAGAGAGTGATTTTGCTGTTTGACCTTTTTCCAGGATTTTACACGAAAAGTATTGGATCAGAGCTATTATATCATCCATACATATGCATATTATACATACATATATTCATGTATGTTCATCAGTTATCAACGGTCCATGTTAAAATGATTTCAATATTTTTTTAAATTTTCGCCTTGCTTTTTAGTTGCAACAAATGAGTCCATACATATTTACGTACATAATAGCTACAAAGCCGTATGCATGTGCGGAGTTTAAATAATCGCAAGTAATTCTTGTTACTATGCATAAGCCTAAATATATGCAACCATTTGGCAAGCAAACACGGGGTGCTTCTAATGAAAATAAAAATTTTATGCTGAAATACACATGCTAAGCCCTTCGAAATTTTGTGCTGGGATATGCGTTAAGACTGCTTTTCACTATGTCACATTTTGACGCCAAAATTTGGCGACATATTTTGACACAACTTTATCTCCTTTATCCATGCCTTTACCGATGATATTATGGGCCAAAAACAGACAGATAGCCGATTTAGCAGCGCATGTACACGACTAAAGACCTATCCTGATCCAAATCAATCGATAAACCGCTTTTTAATCCCATTCGACAATGTGTTTTCACTTATTTGAGGACAAATGCCACTGAATTTGACATAGTGAAAATCAGCCTTTACAGCTTCGCAAATTTTACCTACCGAAACCAAAGATGTATACACATCAAAAACTATTTACAGTCCTGATTGGAACAAGTGCAGTCCGAATATCAGTTAGAGAATCAACATGACATCTTATATATTAATACGCAAACATAATTTTTGTCGTACACTTTTGAGGTACTTAATCCCCATTGATTTTCATGAAACTCATATCAAAAGAGAGAGGAGGTGGTGTAGATGTGCCGAATTTAGTTTTTAGCCCTCAAAGAGCCACTTTAAGCAAAATATTTAAAAACACCTATTTACAGTCCTGATTGGTACAAGTTCAGCCCGAAAATCAGTTAGAGGAGCAACATGACATCTTCTTATATATTAGAGGGCTGCATGAATTCATTCAAACTTCTAGACAAACAGAGTACAGTAGATTTGAATATTTTACTTCACATACAAAACACTCAGCGTTTGGAATTTACATTTTGTTTTATATTTTCTACCTTCAAATGGAAGAATGTGAATGAATGAAAGGAAAACATTCAAATCATTCAAACTCAGTTCGGTAAAAGTTTTTTTCTACAAACAAGTTTTTTCGTATGTAATAGGAGCGCAGCAATACATACATACATACATTGTATGTTTGTGCATATGCTCATTAAAAAAATATTTTTGGATATTCATACACAAAATTGTTATTTATTTCAATTCAATTTATTTCCACTTTGTTTGAATCACAGTATACAGTAAACCAGCCATTGACAATATGCTTATTTGAAAATTAATACATGAAATATTGTGCATGTATAGGATTCTTTTGTCATGAACCCATACNGTATGTAATAGGAGCGCAGCAATACATACATACATACATTGTATGTTTGTGCATATGCTCATTAAAAAAATATTTTTGGATATTCATACACAAAATTGTTATTTATTTCAATTCAATTTATTTCCACTTTGTTTGAATCACAGTATACAGTAAACCAGACATTGACAATATGCTTATTTGAAAATTAATACATGAAATATTGTGCATGTATAGGATTCTTTTGTCATTAACCCATAGGCAATGACTGGTGCTAAAGTACCCACAAATGTTTGTTGATATATTTGAAATGTAAATTTTGACAGCGAAATTCGTAAAAAATATAATAAAACAAAAATAGTGTTGATTACTACATGGGAGGTGGTCGTGGTTATTGACAGGTTTCGCAAAAATTTAATACTAACCTAATTTATACCAAAGGCAACTTCGGCACCGACTTTCGTTAAAATATCTACATAAATTTTATTCGAGTTAGCTTGTTTACAAACAGACACGACTGAACCAATTCATTTCGTCATTCTGAATATTTTGATAAATATGTATGTAAGAATATGTGTATATACATTTTATACGGTTGAAAAACGGCCTCGCTAATCTGCATAAACCTTTTTTATTTGCATTAACTCATGCAGTATCCTTTTCAAATGAAAATAAGCGGCAGAACAAATACATACAAATTTGTTCGAATGTCAATATATAACTTTGTGTACATATTTCATTAAAACTTTGGAGGTCTCCACTATAAGAGTTGTATATTTGAAAATTAGAGAGTTCTACCTTTAAGTTAAGTAATACTTGTTTTACCCCCTAATTTATGGGACCATTTTCCAAAGTCAGCCCATCGTTATTCACTCAAAGTTGTATTCGGAACACGATATGACTTATGTAGGAATTGCATTCGGTTATAATCGATTACGCTGCAAGCCTGATTTGCTTGGAATTTTGTTTTTCTCGTTGTTTTGTTTTATGTTACTTGAAAATATTTTTCACTATAAGAAAATATTGAAATTCATTTCATTTGGGTTAAAGAAAACGACAACTGTGAAAAAATATCAACCAATACATTCAAATAAATTGTCAAATAAGCATATTTACATTTTTTGTTTTGCCTATCTGGATTACTGTATACTGTGGTTTGAATATTGTGATGTCGACACAAATATCAAAACAGCTATTCACTCAAATTCAAAAAAATTTGAAGCCAAAATCAGTCATTCGTTTTGTATATGAATAATTCAAAAGCCGTTTTGAATGCATTCATGCAGCCCTCTATTATATATGATTTTTGTGGTACACTTTTGAGGTACCTAATCCCCATTGATTTAAATGAGACTCATATTATATGAAAGATGAGTTGGTGTAGATATGCCGAATTTAGTTTTTAACCCTCTAAGAGCCACTCCTAGAAAAATATTAAAAGAATCTATTTACAGCCCTGATTGGTACAAATTTAACCCGAATATCAGTTAGAGAAGCAGCATACCATTTTATATATTACGAGCAGACCCAGTGAACTTCGTTTCGCCCAAAATTAATTTCTTTTTATTGAAACGTTTTTGGTCCAGCGTTTTCACCAACAAATCACGTTTACCATTTTCATTGGCACATTCATCTGCTAAGATTATGGGCGAACGTTACTCAACGGTGCAACAGGTCGACTTATTCTGACATTCACGGCACTTCTTCTCACTTGGCGATTTTTAGTAATAATTCGACTCCATCGCCACCTGGCAGCACTTTTTTGCAATAGTATTGTTCTTACCTTTACCAATACATATTTTAAATATTAGCCAAATCAGATCATAAC